TAAACGATTTCGGCCGATGACCGTTTGGCGCCACTCTCAGGCAGCACGTCTGTCAGCAGTGCAGTGATGATGTTTATATTCATAAAGGGTCAATTAAGTTAATATTAACATAAATTGTTACATGATTGAATATTTTAACATTAAAATTGATCAGTTAATTTTCCATTTTCGCCGTTGAAAATAACTTATTCGCTCTGTACGGAACACCATTATAAGCCTGTACGGAACATCGTTAACGCTTATCATCTTCCGTACACAGGTGGAGGAGGTAGTTTTCCCCACTTTTCTCAAAAACTATTGGTCCAAAAGACATCAATCAAAGTGTGGACCAATCAATTGGTATTCCCCCGGAGAATGATCACACAAACATGCTAGTCTTGCTCTCAGAAACGGAGGAGTGGTCGCTGATGTGCGGTGATAGGCGAAAAGTGTACGGAACACGGTTAGTCTACGTTATATATTGTTAATAATTTGCATAGTTAATATTGTTCTTTGCTGTTCAGTTTATACAGGTTTTTCAAATGTTATAATAAAAACACTTTTTTCTCTCTCAAAATCTCTCTCTTTTTTTTAAACTCCCCCAACCCCCCCCCCCCCCCATCCACTCCACCACCCCCCACCCCCGGATACGAACTGAATCGTGGGTCAAAAATCATGATACGAACAGAATCGTGGGTTTGGTGTATCGTTACAGCCCAAGCACATATGTAACGATTTGCTGTTACATGTTTCTAACCTATTTTTTTTCTCTCACCTTCAGAATATCTGGGTTATTTGCCATCCTGAGAAGCTTGCATGCCTTTCCGAGACCGATGCCGTACAAAGACGGCAGATAGTCGCAGCCAGAGAGGATGCACATGTAACGGAACTTCTCCTCTGTGAAGATGTTGCCAAGCGACTTGCAACGGCCCAGGTGACACTGTTCAATCTCCAATCCATTACCCTGTTTATCCATCTTTAAAATCACCTGCAAACAATGCATAACAAATAAAACACTGAAAACTAAATTAAGTCACTGTCCCAAATGTCCTCCAGCATGTCAGTCAGCATCCCCCAGTGATTCAAAGGTTTATAATTCAAGTTAATTTTTCTAATTTTTTAAGTCTCAGGAATACAATACAGAAAAATTGTAAAATACAGTAAAATAGCAATATTGTGAAGTATTATTACAATTTAAATAACTGTCTTCTATTTTAATATGTTTTAAAATGGAATTTATTCCTGTGATGACAAAGCTGAATTTACAGCAGCCACTTACTCCAGTCTACAGTGTCACATGTTATTATCTTAAGGCTGAAATACACTACACAACTTTTATGTCTCGTTTCCACCGAGCGGTAAAGTACAGTACGATTCGGGACAGTAAACCATGATCCGGCTTGCGTTTCCACTGCCAACAGTACCCTTACTTGCTAGGAGTGGTGTATGCCGGAAAGTAGCGATCGACATCATTGTCACAAGACAAAAAACATTGTGTTGCAATGGTATTGTGTTTCAACTGTATATTAAAAAAAATGATAAATGGCGCCTCTTGTGTTATCATTCCCCATTGTTGCGTGTGCAAGTGACCTCTGTCAAACAATTGACGTTCTGCAGTGAGGCTAGCTCCACCCTTTAGGTACCGGACTACTGTGCTAGGTACCCCAACGGAAGGGTCCAAAAAAAATAGCAACGGTACGGTTCTGTATTTTGGTACGATTTGTAACTTCTGACAATCGAAACGGAAATAATTACGTACCGTGCTCTACTGTACCGTACCGCTCGGTGGAAACGAAAATCTGAACAGTTTTTAAAACACTAGGCATCATACACTTGCCGACTTTGTACATGGTTACAGAGAAAAACTGGTCATCATACACTAAACGACCAAGGATCATACACTACCAGACTTTCAAATTGTTCCGAACACAACAAACGCACATGGAAACACTCGCCTTGTCGCTAGGAGACGCATGTAAATTAGCAGGAGATGACCATAGTAGTTGAAAAAAAAAACTAGCCAAGTGCATTTGGATTAGGTCTTGGGTGAGTAGACGCGGTCAGTGTGGACTCTACAGATTACAACAGGGGTTAGAGGTGAATGGCGCAGTTGTTCTGTCTATGTTGTTACCATCAATATATTAATTAATCACTGTTTACATTTAATGTAATCATTAATAATCAATCATTCGCAACTATTGACATTCAGGCTAATTTTCCACTTATCCGAGGACAAGTGTCAATTTCGAGCCATGGATAATGAAGAATATGAACATAAAAATGAATGAATCAAGATTTACCTCAGAATATGTTCTGCTAACTATCTCAAGACCAAGCTAACGGTATACATGGTTGGTTTAGCTCTGATGAGATTGCTGCCTGTCTCCATTTCTTCACAAGCTTTGTGACTTCGTGCCTTTGATTTCTATTGGCTAGTCAGTGTATGTGACTGTACTGTAATGTACTGTGTTCAGTTGTAATGCGTAATACACATTATGCGTTCTAAAATCAGCTCAAAATATCAAACATGTTTTGATATCCACCGACTGGATGGAATCATAGTCTGAAGCTAAAAAAAATCAAGAGTCTGTGCCGATCATACACTACACTAGTATTTTCTATTAATTCTGTCAACTCCGACTGTCCATATTTGCAGACTTTAGGCAACTAAATGTTGACTTGTACAGACAGCAAATCGGGGCAAAAATCTGAGCAAAAGTTGTGTAGTGTGTTCCAGCCTTTAGACAAATTTATCTTGTTGAAAGGACGTTTAAATACTTTGACTGGAAAACAAACAAAAAAATACAATACTTAAGACATATTCGTTTTTGCTATGCAGACTTGCATGACACCAGCGGGTGGTCACTAGTCATTGCAAGTGTATTCTTTATCCTCAATTAAGAGCCTCTGCACTCAGATACCTTTTTGCAGCCAAAGGCCAGCAGATCTGAGTCCTCTGTGATCACTGCCTGAGCGATATCAGATTTGTTCAGGAAAGCTAACTGGGCGTCTGCTTCATATGGAGCAACAACACAGTCCACTCCACGTGTCCTGGCGGCCTGAAAAACAGCAAAAAGATGCAAATGAAAAGATGCCAACAAACAAAACGAGAGGAAAATCTTCATTGTTCAGTGTCTAATATTGTGTTATTAATTACAACATTCACTGTCTACTAAACACATACTAGTAAAATTACTTCAATAAATGTTATTTGACTGATTCCAAAAGAAATATTGTTAAAAAATATCAGGTGCGTGCAATGGTCTCACCTTAATGACATCATGTGCCATTGATGGGGTGATATTAACACTGCGGGTAAAACATTCTCTGGCTTCTGATAGCTTACCCTCCCGCAGCAGCTGTTTGCCTTTCTGCAGATTTGCCTGTCGACGCCTGTTAGTAAAATATATATGAAGTAATCTTAATTGTCAACTAACTTAATGAACTTTTCCCCCTGTATTTTGCTGAGTTCGAACTTCTTACTCGCGCCGGGACTTCTCCACATCCTGTTTGGAGGGCAAGTTGCGTCCGTCAAACACCAAGATGGGCTTAACACCAAAAGAAAGCAGCATGTCCACAAACTTCATACAGTAGGATACATACCTGATGGACACAAAGAATGTTAAAATGAAAAATGCACATTTTAACCTGCAAAATTATGTTATGCATTACCGAACAACAACTTAATTACTTATATTGCATGCAAATAATTGAAACAACACACTGATCTGTAGGTTCCCCTTTAGCAAGTTTCTCTGCACATGAAAAAGCTCCTTTATGCAGCCAGCAGTATGTGTCTACCGCCACTGTCTGTCCCCGATACTTCTTCACACTTATGGGCTCCGAAGCGTCTTTGATAAACTGCAACAGGCCTTGAATTCCCATGTTGTCTGTCTGGAAGGACAGGTGTCTGACTATGTTGGTTTATCAGAGCCCAATCTGAGCCACTCTATCAGATGAAGAGGGAAAAAAAAAGAAAAAAAAGTCCCTGATCATTGATGTAGCTGCTAACGTTAAACAGATATGGTCTGAAAAATACATGATCCACTGTAGAACATAAACATCCTTAAAAGTCAACAGAAAACATTCCCTAACCGTCCAACTGCGACGACGATTGAAAAAAAAGATAACCATTTACATACAAAAACTTGTAATACATTTAATGTTTAATTCATCTGTCCGGAAGAAACTGTAACCGCCAAATCCCTCCAAAACAAAACACACTAAAAATTCTCGCGAAACTAAAACGATTAAACTCCTCGAGGAAGAATCAGGGCGCTGTAGCTAATACCTTAATCATTTATAATTTAAACCATTGAACGTTTTAGTATTTCAAGTATAATAAACACTTACCAAGAGCTTTTACTCGCGCTGTAGTGTCTGACTGCCGTTACAGCAGACCAGACAGAGCTTCGACTTTAGCGGCAAAACGTGACATCACTGCACAGGAGCCCTATTGGTCAGCCTGGCACAGACAGCCAATCACAGACCAGAAATGTGGAAGAGGCGGGACAAGGAATTTCACAACATCGGAACTCTCTATTTTTTGACAATATGATGAATAGGTCATTAAAATATTATATTCCATTAAAATGATTGCAAAATAAGTCAGCTTGGAATTTGATGGAAAAAAGGGAAGAACATGTATGATTTATTGTTTCCTTTATACTATATTTTATAATATACTACTTATATATTATGTGTAAGTTACATATTATTATATATAAAGTATCTGACTGACGTTACAGGGGTTCGACTTTAGCGGCAAAAACGTGACCCAGGAACACTATTTTTATATTTTTGCATCGCCAATTTGCCATTACAATCTCACAACTATATAAGTTAAGTCCATTTAAATAATACAGAAAGATGTGACACGGTCAGGCAGGCATATGTCTCAAGGTGAACTGTGTGTCATTTTGCAAAAGGGTCACGTGGTGGTGCTGTCCGTCTCTGTTGTTGGTGTCGGTGCTCAATTCTGGCGCTGGGTGGAGCGCGTGACTCCCCGTTCCGCTCTGCTCCAGGATTTGACGTGTCGCTTGTGTTTTTCTGAACTTCCTGCTTCCTCCATGACTGTTTTGAGCCAGCAGTAGTCCGAAAGCTGATCGGTAGGAATCGTTAAACGTGGCAATGGTGTGAAGGTGCGCGATCGGCGGCGGTGTGTGATTGTGAGTAAAGCTCGTGCTGTAATCGCTGTCAGCCATGCAGTTCTCTCCCACCAACGGAGATTTTACCTTCGTCTCCTCGACGGACGCTGAAGGTACAGTAACGTTAGTTAAAGGCCCCAAAGCATCCATACACCTCTGCTCTGATATGTAAATCGGATTCATGTTGAAATGCTGTTGGTTGTATTTGTGTGTATGATGTACGATGTACACACACATTAATGCAAATATCCCCCAGTATGTGTATGATCAAGCTTATTAATGGATCATGACATGGGTGTTGTTTTGTTGTTCTCAATATGAATGCAATAGTCAGCTTTTTTTTAACCTAAAACAAACTCTTATCCACCAGAGCTCAGCGGCACCATCGATGCACCAGATATCACACTAAATATGGGCCCTGAGGCCAGCAGGGACACATACGCCACCACTTTCCTGAGGCAGAGGGGTTATGGATGGTTGTTGGAAGTGGAGGAAGAAGATTCAGAGGACACTAAACCGCTCCTGTGAGTTTTTAGGACTCGATTTCTGATGTTTGCTTGATCTCATAATTGCTTTTAGAGTTTCTGGTTGAATTTGTTGGTTTTCTCTGTTTGTGCAGGGAAGAGTTGGACATTGACTTAAAGGACATCTACTATAAGATCAGGTGTGTGTTGATGCCCATGCCATCACTGGGTTTTAACAGACAGGTGGTGAGGGACAATCCTGACTTCTGGGGCCCACTGGCTGTCGTCCTGCTGTTCTCCATGATCTCCATCTATGGACAGTTCAGGGTGAGTCAAGGGTGTAGATTTAGTTTGAAAAAGTATTTAATGATGATTACTGCAATTAATTAATTAACATAATTCCTTTTTTGCATGGGATTATTTAAGCATCTGGAACCTTTTCTGTTAAAAAGAATTTTCCACTTTAAAGTGCCATGGGATGTTGAACTTCACTTAACATTTTGTTCTATTGAAAGTGCTTATTTCCTATACTCTTAACATAAATTGTTTTCATCTCATCGGGCTTTTAATGAAATATGCAGTCTTTTTGGATATCAGAAAGCCAGGTGTTTCCTAATATCAATCGTCATTAGAACAGAACTTATTTTACACAAAGTAAAGTAGCATGGTCTATAATTCTAGCCTGGGTTTCCCAATACTGCGTTTGCGCAGCGCGATTTTATTCACGCTGCTAGGCAGTCTGGATACCATGGATCAAATTTTGGCCTCAGCGAGGGGAGCAATCACAGAACGGGGAGGGAGCAGCAAGACTATGACGACGTCTATGCAGTTTGACACACCGAAGCAGTTTGTTTATACCTATGGATCAAACAGTTAGCGAAGTTACCTTTCGATGCAGCCTTAGATATTGTTCTAAGTAGTTTAGAACGCAAATACATCTCTGACCCATCGTCGTCTTCCTCGTCGAATTTCTGTCGCTCTACATATGTCATCTGGTATAATTGAAACGATTGGCTATGAGCTACGTACAGGCGCATTTGATAGACATTCGTAGCACCCAATAAACGGCTCTGGGCATTCGTAAACCACGCCTCAAATACGAGAAAATTAACATGTGGTTCCCAGACCACGTCTCAATGTCAATGAGATGTGGTCTGACGTTAGCCAGGCTACTATAATTCATGAAGGTCTTGACTTTAAGCTCTTGATACTACTTTGTTCTTTCCCTTATAAAAATGTACCATAGTTCTTGTCAATTTTTTGTATTATATATATATAATATTGGGAGGTTAACCTTGGTCCCACCCTGTAAACTTTGCCCCTTAGGAGGTGGGACATGAGTCCAGTCTTTGTATCTTGACCATGGGTGTGATATGTATGTATATATAGTCATGATGCTTGTGTACATTCTTTCATCATAAAGCAGTATTTTTTAATGATTTCCATATTACTAATTACATAATTAAGTATTAAGTCTTAATAAAATAAATATAATAGTTTACTGTGCAAATAACTTTGTACTAAAGTAGTTTTAAAGAAGGTATGAAGATCAGAGTGTACTTGTTTTTCACTTCAATATTACTTTGTCACTTACATGATTTAATTAGTCAAAACAGAAACAGAAATGCCCCAAATTTGGATTATTATTTTATGTCATTATACCCTGTTTTGACCAATCAGGTTGTTTCCTGGATTATTACGATCTGGATATTTGGATCACTGACGATTTTCCTTCTTGCAAGAGTGCTGGGTGGAGAGGTATTTATATCTTGTGTTTAGTTAGCATATGATTTTTATGAATGGAAAGGGATGCCCACTCATGGTTTTAAATGTTTTTTAATAGGTGTCTTATGGGCAAGTTCTTGGAGTTATTGGCTATTCTTTGCTCCCACTCATTGTAATAGCTCCACTTCTTTTGGTCATTGGGGGCTTTGAAGTCGTCTCTACACTCATAAAGGTGAGAATTAAATGTATAACAGTATGAAAATAGTTTCTCTTAAATGCAAAAATATGGATGGATGATTTTTTTCATTTTCTTTTCTAGCTTTTTGGAGTATTCTGGGCTGCATACAGTGCTGCTTCTTTACTCGTCGGTGATGAATTCAAAACGAAGAAACCCCTTCTCATATATCCCATCTTCCTTTTGTACATTTACTTCTTGTCTCTGTATACTGGAGTCTGAATTGACCACAGGATTTGATTGGCTCATTGCTTGGACATTTACAAAGAGCATTGTGGAGAGGTACACAGCAGAGATATTCCATGAAGACTGAGAAGGAGTTGGCTGTTTCTTTCTTTTTTATTTTCTTTTACTCTGTTTATAATCCTATATGCTTTGGGGGATTGAGGTGTACAGACATTAGTGTATTTAACTGCTTCCATTAATTTTGTACACAATAAAAAGCTGCATCTTTTACTGTGGAAGCCCTGTTTGCAGAGATCCCTCTGCCACTGAAATCTGGAGCCCTGGTTTTACCTTAAAAGGAAAATAAAAATGAGAACTTTATATTGTAAAAGACTATGTTAAGCATGATAGTCACATAACAGAATTTATGTCTCATCACACGTAATGGTGAAAACTTGGATTTTGTTGTTATTGTTGTACGTTGTCCCAGTACATTCACATTCATCTTATCAGTTTTTAGTTTTAATTTATGAACTCCACATGGAAAAAGAGAGTATGCAGGCAATATAGCTTGGATTAAATATGTCTGCTAAGTATGGGTGCCTTGAATTGGTTGTTTTATATGGCTGTGGTGTATATTATTTATGTAAATGTAGCCAAAAAGGAAAGACTAGAACACTCAATTAAAAACAACTTTCTACCTGGTAATGTGTACACTGCAGACATATGTTACCATATTAGTTTAGCTGAAACAATTGAGTCTGGAAATTGTTATAATATTCATACACCATGAATCAAATTAAAAATTATTGACACTGTAATTACACTCTTTGTCATGAATCTCCTTAATGTCTGGGAATAATGTTACTTACAATCACATGATTTATTGGTTAATTTAATATTCATTAAAATGCTTGGTTATTAGATGTAACAGTAAGTGCTTTAACCAAAAGTGATTATGTATAGTGATTGTTTCAAGGACACAAGAGTGTTGTCTTTATAATCTACTGTTAAAAAACAACAACAACAGTGCAGCAGTTGGAGCTTTGCTGACCAGACTTCCTTGTTCAAACTAAGCATTATAGTATCTATCTATCTATCTATCTATCTATCTATCTATCTATCTATCTATCTATCTATCTATCTATCTATCTATCTATCTATCTATCTATCTATCTATCTATCTATCTATCTATCTATCTATCTATCTATCTATCTATCTATCTATCTATCTATCTATCTATCTATCTATCTATCTATCTATCTATCTATCTATCTATCTATCTATCTATCTATCTATCTATCTATCTATCTATCTATCTAGTCACAGCGCCCCTTGAGGTTCGGCGGGCGATCACACAGTGACTACGCCAGTTCCGTTTCCCTGCTGAGAGTGTGAGCAGAAGCAGCCGCTGGTTTCCGCTCCGCTGATGGTGAATCGCTGCTCCTGCGGTATTGGGAGGAGGTTTACAGCCCGCAGTGGAAGCGCAGCGGTACTTCGGGATTCAGCTTTAACGTTTTCTCGTCGAGTCGTGTCCACGGAGGTGCTACTGAAAGAGGAGGGAAGGCAGGAAGGGAAGATAGTAGGAAGATGGCGGCGGCGGCGGCGGCCTCGCCAGGCTCGCCGGACTGGGTCGTGCTGAGGGACGGCTGCCTGCGCTGCGATGAGGAGGGCCTGCGGAGTCTGTCCTACCATCCGGCCCTTAACGCCATTCTGGCCGTCACCAGCCGGGGCAGCATCAAAGTCATTGACGGCACCTCCGGGGCTATTTTACAGGCCTCCGCACTGCACGGTGAGTTTCGGTTCGGACGGGTTCTGAGAGATTTATCCCGGCCGACCTGGATCTTATCACAACTGAATCCTGGGCTGGATCTCCTCATAGAGGAGGCTTATGGGAGATCCTTTCCTCTCATAGCTCGTGATGGAGGTGGAGAGTGTCAAAATGTGTGTTTGATCTTTTGATGGTGCAGTGTTGCGGGAATGTCTCCTCTGTTTGGATTCTCGTTGGAGGACTGTGTCCAAACGTTCTGTACCTTTTTGGGGCTTGTTGATGGAAAGGCTTGTGTGATGGACTGTTTGATAATGATCCTTCACTCCAGGGCCTCCTGATGGATCAGTGTTTTAATATCAACTCCTTATTATTCAGGCCCCCAATGGATGGATCAGTGTTTTAATATCAACTCCTTATTATTCAGGCCCCCAATGGATGGTCCCTCACTCTTGATGGGTCTATGTGATAATATAGAGGCTTTTGTGAGAATAATCGCTCGCTCTCATGCAGTTGTTCTGTCAGTGATCCCCCAGTCTTTGGGCCTCCTGATGATCCTAACTGTTTAGGGCCTCCTGGATCTGTTGTGCTGGCGGATCACTGTAAACATTGCCACGCTATTCGCCAACTCACAGTTTATGTAAATATCAGTAGTGTTTATTTACATTACACTTCTTGTCTTTAATAGTCGAATAAAACTAAATCAAGACACGATCTAAAAGCTGATATGATGTTGGGGGTAAAGCGGTAACGTTACTAAAGCTAATCTAAACATTAGCAAATATCAGCTCGTATAGGTGTGTGTCTTTGTCGAACTTGTGTAATCCAACCAATGTCTTAATACATGTCAGTGGTTTATTGTGCATATTATCATAGGTTTCGACTGTTAAAGAAAACCATTTATTGATTTTGGCTCTAAATTAGCTGACAGAGGTTTAGCTAATCATGCTAACGTTAGCGTAGCGGTAGCCTAGCCTGCTACGGATCAGCAACACTGCTCATGTTTGTCAATCCTGACAGGTGACAGCTGACTGTAAAATTGCTTACTACAAAGATATTTATACTTATTGATTAGTTTTATAATCGTATGTGTGGTTTGAGAAGGTTCGAGTGATTTCTGTGCATCATTTTGAATGTGAGATTGAGTGCTTGTGTAGTTGTTGTTCGTGTAATATACACTTGTCAGACTAAGTGGTTATATATATATATATATATATATATATATATATATATATATATATATATATATATATATATATATATATATATATAACCACTAGTGTGTTAAATGATAAAATTGCGTAATGATATGCATACATAATTACACTGGAGTTATGTATTGTTGCCCGAAGCATTATTATTCAAATGGGTTAAACAGCCTCTCTTCCAGACTAATTTAGTCTCCCTATAATGTTTATTTAATCAATATAATTTTGTTTGTTTCTTTACTCTTATGAAATATCCGGCTCATTAAATGTATAAGATTGCAAGGTGAAATATTTTAAAGAAAGGACAACTGGAAACTAAATGATGTAAACGGTGTCTTTGCAGTGACAAGTCTTTGAAGGTCTTCTGTCAAATGTTTATTAATGGACATGTGTAAACATTTGTGAATGTACCTTTAAGGCACTTTTCAGATAAAACTTTAGGGCCATATTTAAAGTTTTAAACTAGAAGTTATGAATGTGACATTGTCATTTAGCTAGTGTAGGACTAATCTGAAAAAGACAACTCGAGTTTAATTGAATTTATATTCCCAGAAAGCGGTGATAGGAGTGACTCTCATCTTTCTGTAGTGTACTCATCTTTCTTGAGTTAAAACACCAATTTATTCATGGATGTTTATGAAATGCAAAGAATGATCGGTAACATCGTAGGACATTATGATTCTTTGCTGAAAATCCCGTGTGCAAGAACAAGGCTATATCTTTAGGCAGAAAGTAGGTGCTGGCACTAGTGATTTGACTACATTTATATATTTGTAATGGTTGAATATTGCTGATTTGCAGGTATCATGCTGAACTAACATGTTTGTTTGGAATTGCAATCGAGTTATTTATTAGGGAGTCTCGGGACAGAGAGTTGCTAGCACAGAACAGTTGACTCATGCTTGTATATGGATAATATTGATTGGAGAGGTTTTCCCTTTTTTCTCCCCTGAGAACAGGCACTTGGGAGCAGATTTAGGGGATGGCTGTTGTTGCTCTTGTTTCCTCTCTCCTCTTGTAAAGTGATTTAAAATGCATTAAAGTAGACTAAATGTTTGAAGAGATTGCTTGTGAATACAGCATTTAGGCTATGTGATAACCCGCTATCAACTCTTTCTACTCATCAGAATTCAGTCATGTTTTGCATACGGCGTCCTGTCATTCATGCATGGTAAAGGATGCTAGAAACAGAACATTTTAGAATGTGATGCCAGCGTGACACGCTGATGCCAGTGACATTTCTCACTTTTTCTTGTTTGGTGTCAGTGAATGTTTTGGATGTGTGTCTCAGTTCAGATTAGTCTAAAAACAAGGGTGTAGTCCAGAACAAGTTTAGTATTTCCTTTGCATTCTGCATGCGCTTCTATTCATTCATATTTTATTTTTGTAAGAAAAAAGTATTTCAAATATACCCTACCATTCAAAATATTTTTTTCTTAATTTTAAGAAATGTTTCTTGAGCATCAAATCATTAGAATTATTTCTGAAGGATAATGTGACACTGAAGACAGGAGTAATGATGCTGAAAATTCAGATTTGCATCACACAAATAAATTACATTTTAAATTACATTAAAATAAAATATTTTACATTGTAATGATATTTCATAATATTGCTGTTTTTGTTGTATTTTTGTTTACATAAATGCAGCCTTGGTTACTACTACTTTCAAAAACATTAGAAAAAGACTTACATTAGAAACTCCAGACATTGTGCTATATTGTGAATTTTAGATTGTCATTGGCCCTGCAACTCCTTTAGTCACTGCCTTTAGTGTCTTATTACCTTTATAAAATAGTTTTTTTAATTAAATAATTTAAATAAAATGTATGATGCATTTTTCATTTAATCATTAGTCTATTTTATTAAGCTGTGTCATCTTTTGTCAGATATAGCATCTGACATGACAATAGCTACATTTAAATGGACACCTTTTGAATGAAATCATTCCATTTGATGAACCCGAACATAGTGTTTACATGAACGCTAATTAAAGTGATGTGCATGTTCATGTCACAATCTTCAAATCAGATTTGATCTTTGGTCATGCACAGACTGGACGAATATAGAGTGTTTCCTGCTGTTGGCGCATTCTACTAACTAGGGCTGCCACAAACCATTATTTTGGTAATTATCAAGTAATCAGTAAATTATTTTGACAATTAATCGAGTAATCAATTAATAAATATAGACCTAAGTGAACCATAACCATTAAAATGGCTTATAATTTGTTCAAATAAAGCATCAAAAGCAATTAGTAACCAGGTTTTATTGAACAACACTGTTAAAATACATAATGTAGTACACATATATAAACATAATCAACTGTACATTACATATTATAACAAATGCCTGCAGAGGGTTCCAACGGCCTGGTGGTGATTGTCGTTGTTACACATACAGCATGATCAAATCTTTAACTCTTTGCCCACCACCATTGACGAAATTTTCCGTCATTTATGGGACAACGCTTCCCTGCCATTGACAGAATTTTCCGGCTTTCTGTGTTGGGGGATCTATTATGCATTTTCTGAAAGAGTTGAAAATCTCCGGATCAAAACAGACAAAAAAGGAGCAGAAACAGGCGATAAAAGCATTACTTATGCACATTGTAGTCTTTGAGGGAAACAAACGTGATTTTCTCAGCTTTTTGTTCAAGATGTTGCTTTTTCTTATGAAACTTTCCCATATTTAGGCTGATAAAAAAGTGTTGATAAAAAACCGGTGACCGGCCAGTTAGTCTCACGTACTGATTCCAACCCAGTCTGTTTTTTTTGCCAGTGGCACATGCACTAACGTCAGCTTTGCGTTCTTGCTCTCTTTTTTCCGACGGCATTAGTCAAATTATG